TTGTTTCCTGCATTTGCCACATACAGGTCCCTTACATGCAAAAAAAAAAGGACACTGTCTTTGTTGTCTTGTTTAAGTAATAACAACAAACAACGCATTGCAAGACACAAACGTCAATTAACTATGACGGGGCGAGCGTTTTGTGAGCAAACAGCGTTGACGGTCAGACAAATAGATAGGCACAAGTGACGGAGGACAAATGAAATGGAAAGCGAACCTGACATATCCTGRCAAATAAACGATAAACATGGTTAATGACCACAGGTAGAGGCGACACGTGCAGGCGTCACACTCGCTGGTCGTTGAGCCAATGCGCAGGCGTACGTGAGCGTATGAGTATGCGTACGCTCTGTGCTAATTATTGTGGTTGTTGGGGTTACTTCAGTAATATTCCTAAAAATTCTTCCTATAAAATGTTGAAGTGCTTAGTTATCCCTATGTACATATGTATTTGTGAATTCTTCTTCATGACACTAGATACATACATATAAGCGTGTAAGCATGCGCACTTCGTAAACGAATATCTACGAAATCAGTAAACATGGCTATAGATATTTAGGTGTGTTCTCTTACATAGGCATATATATGGATGAATACACATAACTGCCGGTTCATACAAGTACACTTTTGTTGCGGCAGCTCAACTCTATGTAGCGAAGAAGGCGACAAAGATCATCAAGTTGTTCGAATTCAGGCTACAAGCCTTGTGCTGTTGTTCGTAAGGTAATACAGATCCACAACSCGATAACTGTGGGACTAGTTCGCGCATAGTCAGACCTAGCAATATCAGCTGAGCACGTCATCCTATATTTTATTTAGAACCTGCGATGTTTTGTTCTCTCTGTTACAAGCTACGTGGCAAGGGGTTACTTGGGTTTACAAGTTTCAAAAAAATTGAATTATTTTTAATCTTCCATTAAATTAAACAACAATTCTAGAATATTATCGTAAATTTTAAAGTTGATGCGAGTAATAGTTTCGGAGATACAGCCTTGAGAACTTGTGTGCTCGATACTAGCTTGACTAAATGYGCCGTCTTTAAACGCGTTTTTCTCGAAACTGTGTTTTGGAAGTCGGTTGGCAAGATTTCTCGAGAACTACTCAACTCAACTTCATGAAATTTTACACTGGTCTTTGAGATACTATTGTTAAAAACTTGGACGCAAGATTTTTTTCGATTGAAACTATTTAAAAAAAAAAATGTTCACTGAAATTTTCATTTTTTGTAAAAATGTCTGCCCAAAAACCTGATTGTTTTCCTTCGTCCAAGTTCTAAGTTAAGGGTTTAACTAAAACACGTATTTTTTCACTTTAGATGATSGGGGCCACCGGAAATGGCGTGTCAATGCCGTGTTTAAAATAGTTTTTCCAAAATTTTCTTTGTTTGTAATAATAAAAATATTTTATTTTTTATATGAGAAGAAAATTGTTAAGGAATTACTCTTTTTTACTCGAGGAAACCCATATATACCATATATGTTACCCTGGTCAGGGTAYAAAAACAGAAATCTTCTAGAAAATGAAGTATAAGGAAAAAAGGAATGTTTAAAAAGATACTTTTAAGTTCCGTAATATGAAGCGTAGAAAAATTTCAGAAATGTTATGAGAATGCATGCAAAAAATAGCTCTTATGAACACAATGTGCAACAGTAAAAGAGAAGTCAAGATAAACGCTTCATGTGTGAACACAGACTAACATATTTGTGAACACATTCCTTCTTTTGTAGTACTTCACTTACAATTAATTCGTTTATTTGGTTTGGTTTGCTCTTGTTTGCCTTRGTGTTGTTACATTTTTATTTTTTATTTATTTATTTTCTTTTTTGAATTTTTCTTTGACGAACACTCTCCAGTCGTACCCACACAAAATAGTTGGAGCGCCTGTGTGCCTCATGTTGTGATTCATTAATTCGCTTTTACTCAGCTATTTGTATGCTATTTCGGCTTTATTTTCTGTTTTATTTAAATATTTCTGTTTTTGCGGTATATATTTGTGATTTCTGCTGTATTGTTATATGTACAACATTTTCACATCTTTTGTTTAATTAAATACCGACCAGAAGGCTTTTGTTTTATGTTTTCGTTTAGTCACTATGTCCTTCGTATTTGTTGTTTTACACTCATGCCAGTTTCTTTGTTGTTGTGTTGTTCCTTACATTTAGCATATTGCAGCATTTGGTACATTAATAGTGTTAAGGCGTGCTTTTCTTAAACAACGGCATGCTTCCGCTGTTGTTCAAGGTCAACATATACATAAACACATATACATACAAACATAGATATAATAGAAAATGCAATTAATTCTATTTTAATGAACTTCGGTAATGCAGACATCACAGCCAGATCCGAATCACAGCCAAGGAATATATTCAACCTGCTGAAAATATTAATATCTACATAATATGTATTCGTCTCGAAAATACGATTCCAGTTTATCCCTTAGTGAATAAAAAAARCTTGATAATATATCGAATTTACATGTATTTGAGAATTTGAAATTGATTCGGCAAATAATTTGCGAGTTATGCGMGAGTTTGTATGTACCTTTAACCTAGTGCAATCGACTCCCGAAATTAAAAACGCTGTTTTCTGAGTCAATGAAAAAAATTTCTCCAAAGCGCTTGATAGGTCGACTTGAAATATTTACACGAGCTTTTTCAATAATGACCAAGTATTGAGGTAAAAATCGAAGGAATAAGATTTTGGCAATAATTTCGACTTTTTACGCTTTTCTGATATGTGCCTCGGGAGAAGTCGATAGAATTGAAGCACACTGAGGTTTTTCACGGAAGAGTTGAAGTTAGGAGGGAAGGCTGGTGGCGAGTTTTTATTTATTTGTGACATTTTGTTAAAAATCAAAATTTGTATTAATCCTTTGCTCATTCTGTCTGCATTCATCTATTGTAGTGTTAATTTTTTATACTCTTGCAACCAGTTGCTACAGATTATAATAGTTTTGTTCACCTAAAACTAGTCGAGGCTGATAAAAGGTTATATATGTATATGTAAATGATCAGAATGACGAGTAAAGTTGAAATCCGGTTGACTGTCTGTCTGTCCGTTCGTCCGTCCGTGTAAACTGTAACTTAAGTAAAAATGAGATATGTGTGGGTTCCTTAGTATAAAAAAAATTTCGAGTTTGTAGATGAGCGTAATCGAACCACTGCCACGCCTACAAATCGCCATTAACCGAAAACCTATAAATGGTCATAACTAAACACTAAATTAAGATATAAAACAGAGGATTGTAGTAACAAGGGGCATTTGGGGGCAAAAAGGGACCCAGCCCTCTAACATTTTGAAGGAGCATATGTATCTCCTAAACCACTTAAACTACAACAATTAAATTTGCTGACATAAATCCTATAAGAACTTCCATCGATTATTTGAAAATGGATAAAATAGGAGGATAACCCCGCTCATTCTCCATATAACGGTACTGGTAAAAACAATAAAAAACGCGATAAATCATTAAATAACACGGSAGGGGCGTTAAGTTTCAAAACTAAGATGAAATGATAAAGCTTTATGGGAGCCGGATGTGCGTGGCACTGCCCGCTTTTTAGTAAAATCCCATGTCTCGYTAACCGAGCAAACAATTTCGACAGAATTTCGTACGTGGCTTTCGTCTTACATTCTTAAGCCATATTGTGAAAATAGACGAAATCGAACAACAACCACGCCTACTTCCATATAGCACAATTTTAAAATCCACTTGATTCGTTCAGTTTCCAATACACACATAAAATTCTGCACGAATAATGTCTTTAGTGTGTGCCACCTTATGACYTTATGAAACTGTTTAAATCCTMTAAAAACTGCTTAAGCYCCTAGATACCGAATATTTAGACTCCGGTACCTATAGTTGACTTTTGATTGAAAATGCCGGTCAGTGTRTAAGATATACAATTGAAATTAAGGGGTAATCCTTCTCTTTTAATGATATGTCTGTATGTCAAAAAAAGGGTTGAATCGGACCAATACGGGARGTAGCCCCCATATAACTAACAAAAATATTTTCAAACTTCCTTGTGACTTTGTACAGCATATGTATGTCGGTCAATGTGTAAGTTATCCCAATAAAAATAAGAGAGGTTGTTTTATTCATAACAGTGCATCTTTACGCCTAAAATAGATAAATTTGAGCGAAAACTTGAACTAGCCCCTATATAACTAATATCAGGAATTTCGAACATCAGACTAACTTTACTCCAGATGATTGGTTTCTCACCTTAATGTACTTGGCTTTGATTCTTGCAAGTTGCAACAGTATAAAACGTTCGGTTACACCCTTAGAACTTATCTCTTCTTTATTTGTTAATACTGATTTTGTTATTAAAAATTAAATTTTTTAAYTCGTAGATGCGTTGCAAATTCTTGAATTAAAAAATGTTGTGTTTAAATAGATTTTCAATTGCAAACTGATTTTATTTTTTAAACCATATTTTTTTTTTATTAAAAAATTCGCTACTMCGCTAAGAAGCGCGGAAAAGCTGAAACCACTGCTTAAAGTCGCTAAAAAATTCACAAATTTAAGTTCGAGTGAACTAATTTATACCGTATAGTATCAATATGTGCATACTTTATTRTATACATATGCACATATGTATGTATGACATATTTATATGCATTAAATCAAAACATTTACACATAATTCTCAGTTTTTCACAATAATTGGGGGCGTCTGTCGGTAATTTTGTGGCTTGAGCGCCAACACATGTCGACACAACAATTCCGAAGTAATTGCATTTTAGTGGGCATCTGGAGACTCAAAGCAGAAAACCGAACGACTGTGACACCAAGTAACGTAGCAACAAAATATTTCACGTGTACACTTTTAAAAGTATTTAAATACAATGCTAGCCGCTACAAATATACACATATGCATATGTACATATGTGTACACACAATTTTTTTTATTTTTTTTTTTCATTTCTACATTTATATATACGCATTTAGAAGGCGTACACGGTGTTTATTGGCAATAATTGTCAACTCACTTCGTTGTGCATCGTCAGTATATTCGGCTTGACTGCTGTATTGGCATTTCCCTACAGCTGTGTTGGTACAACCTAACCACGTGAACGTGTGCAACATAAAGGGTTAAAGTTAGAGTTAGCGTTAGCTGCCACTGAATTCCAATACACCGGGTTACCTGCATCATAAATTGAGATATAACTTCGCACACATACAACTACATATGAACGTTCGCATAACTTATGGCGGGACAAATGTAACGGCTCGAACCATCAAGGTATACAACATATGTATGTGTGCAGATACATATATATGTATGTATGTAAGTGCATTTATATATTCGCATGAATATGCAAACATGARCCCAAAGACGTTTTTCACGTCACACCCACAAATTAGGTTCGGTTTTACAGCATCACGCCCAACCAGCCATATCCACACCCCGGTGCGCTCGATAATCATGCTGCTAACCGGGATTAAACACTCACGAATTCCCACTCGAAATCGGTAACACATATGCCAACCGCACGAGGATATGTAGCTGGCTGCAGCATACGCAACAACAACATAAATCTTCTCACACGCGATTGGTCTGGTTAAACGGAAACACCGACGACTACGAGCACATACATACAATACAAGTTAAATTATTTGGTAKCACGGCGCGACGCTACCCACTTTGCTTACTGTGCGCCAACGACTAACAGCAAACACTTATGACCGCCTACCACCCGGGAAAAGAATCTATAAAAARCGAGCACGTTTTCATTTTTATCATCCATACAAACAGCTAACTAAGTGACGATGGAGCGCGCACAACATAACGAATTGAAATAAAATAACTAATACAAATTCCAATGTTAAAACCGCAGTGCTCAATTCCTGATTAAAACTTATCACAAAAGTTCATATCACCTTTAAAAAGTAAATAAATATGTACTTATACATATATACATCCATACATGCATGCTACAGCCAATAACAAACTAACAGTGGCTGATACTTCACAGCCCTATCATCCGTTCRGCCGATAGTGGTTGGCCTATTGACTGATCGGCCATTGGAAGATATCAGTTGCCGGAAGCCCTATTGCCGGGCTCATCGTCTTGATATGTGTGCATGCCCAGACAAGGCGTCGCGTCAAAGCGCAGCGATAAATGCTCTGGACTACGCTGGGATTGCACTAATTTCAGCCAACTTCAACAAAAAACCACTATAGTCTACCATATGTTCGCCTCGCTCRACGCCTTCGTTCGTCATCGTTGTCCGATGTCGTATCAATTGACTTCGCGCGACTATCCCTATCTTCACGGTATCCTTATCAGAGCATTGGCGCTTATATTGGCTACACGCTTACACACATACTGCGGGCTTGCAATCAAATCGTGACTCAAGTTGGGGGTATGGTACGTAATGCTTGACGCCGAAACCTGATTACCACTATCAGAGCTTGTTTACGTCGAAACTCGCTGCTGGACTCAGTCTTATTTAGTTGCCGAACCTGTAGTATTCAGTCTAAATGCTTATTAATGGAAATGTTATTGCAATTTGATTTTGACTTACCCGGCAATTAAAGCGCGAATTTAAGTAAACTTTATTTAGRAAGTCACATCTTGAGTTTAGCTTAAAATCTGAAGGACTCACTTGTTATTACTTGTATTACTTGTATTATTACGGCACCAAGGGAAGACGATGCCTTAATACAGTATTACAAGTTGCTGGAGTGGAGAGGATAGAATATGAATATACTTATATTGGCTTAAGCTTTGAATGTTTCCGATGGAATTAGGGCTATGAAAWCGTTGAAAATGTTGCGGAAGTGTTTTGAGGAGACCATCCATCATGYCTACATATCAATTCCGWAGTAATTGCATTTTAGTGATCTGGAAAGGAAAAATTAAGAGACCATCTATAATTGTTAATGACGATGTCGGCGAAAAAGTTAAAGAAATAGCGCTTGAAAATCGTTGTGTTGGCACCAGGAGTTAGCAGAGGATCTCAATATCTACTATGGATTCACTCAACACAACGCAAGAGATCTACTGAACTACTTGCCCTTAGCAAAGTTCAACTTGCCGTAATTGTAGGAATTCTTAGGGTAAGGCTTAGTATATAGTTCTGCCGAGTTGACAGTCGCTGCCCAGATAAATATACGGGTCCATTTCGTTTACGTAGCCCCGACTGTCGAGGGAACGTGGTAAGGCTTAATATCTTGTCGAACGCTAGTTGTTCAAGCTGTATGAAGTAGGAAGGAGATAGATGGAGATCTCCAGTCACTTTCTCCTCTATTGTCCAGCTGTTGCAAGRCTGAGGTTGAAACATCTCGTTATTCTTAACTTTAGCGAATCAGAAGATATAACCGGAACAAATATTAGCCGTCTTACCGAATTTGTGGCAGGCTTAAAGCACTTTGTCGATCTGTAAGGGTCTTATATTTCCAGTTTATTGGAGTTTGTAACTACCAGAAYGTACAGACGTTCTAAGCTGGATAAGTTAGATCCTTCTTAAGATCAATTTAATTGATCTAATTTAATTTTAACTCAAGCCATGATCATCATCAAAAGTAGAGTCTCTCATCCGAGGTGTTTTTTACTGTTCATTGGGAACGTTTTTTATGGGGCTGATTCCAAACCCAGCGCTCAACCCTGTGGAGGGGATGTTTCACTTTCTCACTCTAACTCGCCTTCAAACGGATGTTCTTTGACTACCCAGAGGATACTTCGTCATATATATAACAATCGTTTCTGCTCACTCCCAAGTGAATGACAATCAGAGAGCTTTAATCATATTGACATAGTTAAGGAAAGCTGGCCAAATCATGACGAATGGACGAAAACACTCCAGCTTTGAAAGTATTCGTCGCGAATGGACGAAAACACTCCAGCTTTGAAAGTATTCGTCGCAGTACCCGTCGTTGGAAGTAGACATTGAGACCAGGTGGAGAAGGACATGGCTTTGCTTGGAATCTGCAATTGCCGCCACATAGCGAAAACGACTGACATACTGTTAGGTCGGCTATAACCGYATAAGCGATGTCTACGCCAGTATAAAAGAAGAAGAACATATTTTGGTTAATAACTTGGTTATGCTTTGAAAAAGTGCTTTGAGATGTTTGAAAAACTGTAAAGAACCCTAAGTCCTTTGTTAATTCCATCTGTACTTTAATAATTTTATAAATATGACGACGAAACTTTCTAATATTATTGTTATTGGTGGCCAAAAATGTTCTTTGAGTACTGTGGTGTGGTTCAATAAAAATTGGTATCACAGAGTCGAACAATGAGTAAGAAATACTGCTTGGCTAGACGTCTACTTGAAGTAATTCGTCGTTAATAACCAGATTTGTGTGCAGATAATTCATTGATTTTTCACCAACACTACCGCACAACCTGTCATGATTGTGACCGTTTTTTTTTTCGCTAAAAAGGAAATGAGGGTCGCGTCATGAGTCCATTGACGCCATTAAAAGTCATTCACTGAAGACACTGAAGGTCATCCCAGCCGAGGCTTATAACAAGTGTTTCAAAAAATGAATTAAGCCTTGTCATGYCTGTATTGGTTCAAAGGGGTCAAATTTGTTGTATATATTGTATACTTAGCTAAGGGCTATTTGCCTACCGATGGCCGGCAACATAGTATATGAATATAAAAACATTTTAAAWAAAGTTGCAGGAAAATTTTCGGATTCGGATTTTTTATTTGCGTACGCTTGTCAAGTAAACGTCAAATATGGTCTAGAATAAAAACATTGTTATTAATATTAATTAGCTTATAGCTAAATTACATTGAATTAATCACATAAATCTCAAGGCGTATAATTCTTTGTACCTCCTCTTTTTAGGAGAAACGCTTAAGCAATTTATACTTATTTAAAATATASATATGTRTGTATGTRTATATTTATATACAGCGGATACGTGTGTGTACTCAGTATATATTATTTTTATTGCTACACATGAGCTAAATTTTTATTTATGCCATAAAATAATGCTTGTTTTCTACATAAAAAAAATCGAAGCAAATGAGCAACTAAAAAACAGCATCCATTTTATATTTATTTTTTGCCTCYGTCGATTTTATTTGGGGCGTTGGAGTCAAGCTTCAAATAACAACGCAAAAATATGAGCTCGYTTATGAGTAGAGAAAAAAAAACCTACGAAAAGTATACAGTAAGCACAAAACCTCAAATCAAAAGCAAAGCATGCACACATWTTATTATACCCTTAACAGGGTGCATATGTATAAAAATTAACAGAGTGACGAGCTCGAACGTTTTAGCTATGCCGGCCTCTAAGTCTGTCCGTCTATATATACGCGAAATAATCATCCGATTTTTTTTTTTTTTTTTCAAGCAGCTACTCGTTTGTTGGCATTGCGGATATCGGACTACTTAGCATTTAGCTGTCATACAACCTGATCAATCTAGTTGTATAGAGAACTTTTTTGTTTGATATTATATCTTCGCAAAAATTGGCATAGAATATTTTCSAAGCCAACATTATAATGTCTGAATAAATTGATTAGATCGGCTCACTGTAACATATAGCTGCTATACAAGCTTGATCGGTCAATCATCAATCGGTACAATTTCCTTGTAGGGAGAACTTTTTTATTTGGCAAGATATTTTAGCCAAATCCAGCTTTGAAAATTTTYACAGTCAACGCTATAATCTCCGAATATATTGTTCAGCTTGAACCACTATAGCATATGGCTGCCATACAAACTGATAGGTCATAATCAAAACTTTTATACACGTTTATGCTACAACAAATGCAACTATGAAGGGTATTAAATCTTTGCAGCGGTCGTGTTAGTTATTTTTTCATGTTTTTCGAATTAATTCGCTAGTTCCGTGTTTTTATTGTATGACGGTATAAAATAGAGGATGTTTTGAAAAAAATTTAAGTGTATTTATTTGCGTACACCTTACTCAATGGCATATTATGATGAAAAGTAGAGCATTTGGCTTTCAAAATGCATATCAAATTATATATTTAWGCCGATTCTAAGTTTTTGCGATTTTTCGATTTCGTTTTAAAAAAAAATTTAATAAAAAACATAAAATTTATAAAAATTTTCGAAAAAATTTTTTATTCAAATAAAATGCATATACCTTCAAAAATGCAGGCGATTACTATAAAAAAGCAAAAAGAAAACATAATAACCATTCGCATTTCCCTCATTGGTTTGCATTCAATCACACATACATATGTACAACAACAGCCCAATAAACTCATTCCAAGAATTTTTCAAAACATAAGTCATCACCGGTAGGAATCCCCTGCCGTCAACACAAACAAAMAYGCTCACTGATCGGATATCAGTGACGACCTTCAGCTACTGATAAAAACATRAGAGCACCGCACTACATAGATACATACATAMATACATAATTACAACGGATGATTTTTTATACATTCAAACGATTGTTTGTGKCTTTCTCTCAAACCTCCTCCATTCACAAACAAAAAAGTGCCAATGTGTCTGTGACAACGTGCAAAAAATCACAAAAAAAAAAAAAATAAATAAATACAGYACTTCATGAAATAACAACTGTAACACTAAAACAATAACAAAACAATAATAAAAAAAGTAAAGAAAATACAAGCCGGTGTGATAGCCATAATAAAAAGCGATAAACATGTCTAATCTACGGACGTGGTGTTGTTGTTGGCGCGACAAGCCTTATTGTTCCTTCTTTTATCGCTTCAGTTTACTTAATGAAATTCCGTCTACTATCAACGGTTGTCACACATTTGTTACAAACATACATACATCCATATGTATGCGCATGACTTTGCGATTATTTGTGACGTCACGCGGCGAGATAAAGTACAATCGTTTGATAAAAATATTTAAAAAACTAGCAAGCAATTGTTTCGGCAGCAGTGAAGTTTTGCGTACCCTACCAAAAACAAGTTCAGACTGTAGCGGTGTGAAGCTCAATATGGCTGTAAGCAGCCTCTGAGACAAAAGGTTGAAAATTGGAAAATTGTGTTGCCRTATTATTAAATATTTTTGGCAGTCCTTTGACTCAAAATCCCTCTTTGTGGTTGGTATACTTATCACTCGCTTTCGCTGGCCATTTTTAATTTACTCTTACGCCTTAAACTCTACAGTATTGWGCTTAGTGTTTAGCATACTCAAACGGCGCAGCATTTGTAGGCATTCATCCGCCCATAAACTCTACKAAGTAATAGACTAAACAATGCTAGCCAGCGAAAAAAATATTTAATTAACAAACAGAGGATTAAGAACCATACTTATCGCTAGAAAAGTTTGTCCTATCATGGCACACACGCCTACAGTTAGAGGAAAAAGTGACTGCATCAGCATAACAAACAGGAGTCAAAAGCAATCAACCGATGTGACATTGCACATTGAATTACAAACATACATATATGTATGTATGGTATGTATGGTATGTAAGTAAGTAAACATTGCACTTCTGCCAGTACAGACCGTTAGCGATAACTCACTTCCATAGACATACATATGTAAGCGCCTAAATATTCGTGTGTAAAAGAGTATTGAAAATTATTCTACAAATGAATACACCCAATCTCCATTGTATGGYTATGTTAAAGGGTTTCCTGAGTGCCCTTTACAACAACCAGAACCAGTAGGGTTGACAAAATGCAGTAATCTTGCAGATAAACTGCCCCCATTTTCCGCTGCCTAACGTCTGTATAAAGAAAGGAAGCTAGAAAAGAATCAGCAGACGCTTGGATGAAAGCACACTGCATGCGACGATTGATATTCAGTGGTTCTYCAAGGCATACGCTGCCACAGATGCAGTCATAATACCGTTACTTGTGCTGCATGTGCATGTAAGGCTCCAAATATAGCCAAAGTTGACTCTGTTATGTTTTGCTGTTATCAGTAAAAATGTTTTTTGTYTGCTTATGCCGCTGATCACTGGTGACTGGTGGTTGGTGGCCTGTGGCTTGCATTCGGCGCACTGGCGCGACATACAAATAAGTAACACTGTGACCAGGCGTTCAAGTGATAACAATAAATAATATAAATAGGCGTTTAAAATGCACACATACAGCACAAAAATGTATTTATTGAAAAATAAAATATGTAGAAAATGCTGAAAAAAGCACTGAACAGCTTATGTGTCGAAATGAAGAAAGAAATAGTCGTAATAAGCGCAAAAGTTGATAAGAAGGCATCAAAACTCACACTGCAGCTACTGAATGCTGCCTGCTTAGCAGAATAAACTGAAAGAGTGCTCGATTGGATGGCAAGTGCAGCAACAAGGCAAGTACAAGTGTGGAAGAATGTAAGTGTAGGCTACAAGGAAACACTATATTAGGATGTAATGGTATGTTTCTATGGCAGGGAAATCAAAAAAGATATATGATACATTATACACATATATATTTTGTTAAATATATAATATATACGTATGTCTCTACTAAAACAGCCTGATACAACAGGTAAAGGAGCAAGTGTCTAGATTTATCCACTACATATCTGTCTATGCAACCTTGATAAGTCCAAAATACTTAGTCTCACCACGAGAGCGATAATAGAAGAGTGAATACCTATTAGATACGGACACCGACTATCTTTTTGGCGATATGAAACTTGGAATGTATTTTCTGGGCCAAAAAAATTTCGCCAGGGTACAAGCGCTGCTGACTGAGCTCGCGCGTGGTCCATAGATCTAGCGCCACAACGCTTTGTAGAGATTCCGCTTTGACCCGGCAAATCTGATATGGAAGTAGTTTGATACTCTGCTAATGAGGTCCTGCACATCTTGACCAGCTCAAGCTGTTCACTATGCCACTTCTACCTCTGCGAAAGGCAGGCACCTTGTCGTCGTGCAGGGGCATAGGCTGCAAGGCAATCACGACATTTTTCAATCAACATGCCACCACACCTGTGGGTTGTCAGTAGCCGCATCCGTGCAGCCACCAATAGCTGCCACCTCCTAATACAAGGTGTTATGTGCTCATTGGATTATTTGCAGCCAGGGAGTGAATTCGGTTGTATTTTTACGGAGTCTTTCCATCAGTTTGCTGAATTAGGAAGTAACGATGGCCTTACCGCGTAAACCCGACAGCTCACCACTTTGAGCCAAGGGTAGTAAGACAAAGACGACAGACAACAACCCAAAAGTAAACCAAGTTGTGATGAGGAATATGAGGAACGACAAAGGGCGACGATATGGACTATAACATCAGCACCGCCGCAGATAAGAGGTGTGCAGGAACTAAATGGAAGACACCGCGCAGATACCGAAGAAGCTCGCAGAAGCAGGAGAAAACAGACAAGAGCTGACCATTTGCCGACACCAGGCGGGCATGATGGCCCTCTAAAGAAGAGCATGAGCGGTGCTAATTTGAAGTGGTAGGTAGCAAAAAGGCAGTGCATTTGACTGCCCAAACCTAAACCGGAAGAGCGAGCAATTATACCAAGCTGGAAGGCTGGTAAGACTCCGTCTTCTTCGCAAAAAGAGGAGAAGACATTCCGCCCAAGGTGCACAGGCAAGCCGTACGAGTTTGCTCTCGGGCTACACTTCGAAGGACAGGCCTTCTTAACAATTCCCTGCCTAAGAATAAATACTACTGCCAGTATAAAGAGTCCACATTTCCCTAGGAGTATACATCTAGTCAGTTATGACATTCTGCTGAAGACCAGCTATAAAAGAACCGCGACAGCAACTTGTTGATTTTGTTAAAGAACGGAATTCTTTGCAATTTCTGATCTTTCAACAAAATCATTCATATAGGATGTACAAATACATGTATGTATATATGTATGTATGTACATAAGTGCATAAACGGAGCTAATAGTGAGCACGTCAACAACGGAGCAGTGAATTATAGAGATAAGGCAAGTACACTTTAACGGCATAAAATGGAAAATTATGTTATTTCTCAGTTATTTTTAATGTTTTGTACAAGTCATTGGCACATACGTATGAACACATACATAYATTCATATGTACATATGTATGTATATATAAATAAGAATAAATATGTATGTACATAAATGTATGTTTGAATGTCGCGCTTAAAACTCTTATTATTGACAGTGAGACATAAATGTTCTGCCATAAAAACAAAAGCAGAAAATAAGTTGGCTTGCTGGTGAAAAGGTCACTTATGTTTACTGACAGCCAACCAACGAGTATGCGGTGGATGCGATAAGCAACAAAATGTACTCAATGCCTACATAAAATATGTTATACATATACATATATACATATTTACATACATGTAAAACTTATATATTTATAACGTAACCCTATTACACCTCTGCCTGCGTCTTTGGTGGCAGCGATAAGAGAATGTGAATACTTACATATTTATTTCACTTTATTACTTTAAAAGATTTAATTTCCATTCCAAAAATCTGATTTATGCTGCCATAATGACTTAGTTAAAGTAACAAAACAGTATTCACAAAACATACACACACACTTCAACTGTGTGTGTGTGTGTGTGTGTGTGTGTGTGAATGTAATTGCATATTTAGATGAAGTGATACCGCACTTTGACGCGTAAGTTTTGAAAATTGTTCCAAAAGACCGAGTTCAAATCAAACAACCGTTTTTCAAAAGATGTACAATTTGAGATGTGATGAGAAATATGAGGAGATAAAAATCGCCGGTTTTTACGATGAGGAAAATTACTCAACAAAGAAGTTCCATTAAATATCTGGTGTCGAAACGTTCAGAATATTGAAAAAAGAGGCTTCCTTGATAATTTTTTGTCGCGACCAAGTGTTTTTGATTGGTACAAATTATTCAAAGAGGGTCGAGAACGCGTTAACGACCACATTCGGGACGGCCCTCAACATCAACTGATGATCAACACGTCAATAACACAGAAGAATTGGTCCTTAGGAATCTGCGATTAACAGTCAGAGATCTTAACGGCGTCGTTGGAATATCCGAAAGATCAGTGAGAATTTTGAGAGTTCATTTGGCCTTAAGAAAAGTGAAAGCACGATTGGTTTCGAAATCACTCAATTGTTTTCGTAAAACAGCGTCGCGTTAACATCTGTAAAACTATGCTTTCCGACTGCCGGGATGTCAGTAAATATTTATGGATTGATGCTTACGTACCGAAAATAGATGGACGATCGATCGAATATCGTGGCAGAAGTGAGCCGAAGCCGAAAAAACCTCATTAGCGCAGTTCAATAATGAGATTTCTTCGATTATCCAGATGTGGTACACTCCGAATTCCTTCCGGCCAGCCAAACTGTATTCGTAAAAAGTTTCCGGAACTCTTGGTCCGTTCATGAGTTTTTCACCAAATTTTCAACCAATATATTCGACTGATTTAGCTCCGTGTGACTTTTGGCTATTCAGCGAACTCTAACAAACTGTTTTAGTCAATTCAAGACAATAAACGTGAATTAAGAATTTTAAAATTATCCACAATGTCTTACTATTTAATGCTCTTAGTAGGATAATGTCCGCTCCCGTGACAGTCGAGTCTACGTAACCGGCCAAAGTTCGTCAAAACGGCAGCATTCCTCCAAAATATTGCAGGAATATTTCATGTAGCTACAATAGCAACTGTCATTGTGCGCCTTTTCCTGTTACGTCATACATATGAACCGTAAACAACAATAATTTTTTCACTCAAACATGTCCAATTTTGTACCTTCAACCAAAAGTCATCGAGTTTTGGTGGAAGTCTATGGGGAACATGCTCTAGATGAGTTCATGTGCCAAAAATAGTTTGGGTTATTTAAAAGTGGTGATTTTGTTTTGGAAGGCGGAAGGCGAAAGGCGTTCTGATCGACCAAGAAAGTTTGCAAACGGGGAACTGGATGTATTACTCTATGCTGATTGTTGTCAAACCAAAGAAGAGCTCACAGAGTCTTTCGGAGTCACGCAAGCAGCCATTGCAAAACGTTTAAAAGCAGAACAATTGAGTGTCATATGAATTGAAGTCAAGTGACATTGAAAGACAACTTTGTATGTCAGATATGCTGCTTGAACGCTACAAAAGATGTCGTTTTTCCATCAAATTGTGACTGGTGATGAGAAATGGACTCACATGAAAAGTTTTACTTTACTCGAGTTTTAGATCAGACCTTGCTCCTGCTGAATATCATTTGTTTCGACCAATGCAGTGCGACCTCACTGGAATACGGTTCTAAAAATGTATCAAAATTGGCTTTATTCAAATTGCCAGAGAGTTCGCAAAATTGTTATTCTTGAGTTAGACGTTTTTATTCTAATTTTTAAAATTACCGAAAAAAAAATTTTTTACATGGCAACCCATTCTAATGATAACATGTCAGTTTGCCTAATTTTCCTGATAAGCAAATCTTTAGAAAACAGCGAGTTGTGAAATTTGCTAAATAGAGCATTATTTTTAATCCCAAATTAATAACAGCAATTATTAATTAATAGAAAAAGCGATGGCGTGTAAACCAATATTCACCTTTAGACGTGCCAAAATTGACGATATCGGCGCTGTACGTGAAATGATACAGGTGAGTGCAAAAAGAATAATAACCAAACATATTTTTGATTATTTGATTCTAATATTGAATTAAATGTAGGCTTGGCAACTTAGTGATGTGTTTCTTTTACCTCTAGGAATTGGCTGATTTCGAAAAGATGAGCGATGGTCCGAAACTAACAGAGAAGGGTAAGTGTATTTAACTTACTTTTAAGCATGAACATAAGCATACATACATACATATTTACATTTGTAGTAAAATATTTTCTTTGCAGATTTAATACGCGACGCAGGACTCGACGCTGGACAGGAATTTTGTCATATATATGTGCTCGACCACCAAAGTGCAGAACAATCCACACCGTAAGTAATTTGCCGGTGAATAGATATTAAAATGTATGGTTTTTTTTGTTGTTGCAGCGTGTTCAAACCCAAGCTAGTCTTAATGGCAATGCTCGCAGCTAATTTTCTCATTAATGTTATGTAGCATTTATATACTACATACTTATGTATGACTGCATTTTCTACAAGCCAATAGCTATTGCAATCCGAAACCAATGTGAGCTCACCTCAAATAAATCACAAATTAGAATATACATACGTAGACACCGAAATATTTATGTATGTATGTATGTATTTATACACATGCTTACATTGTTTACACATAAGAATCCATCAGAAAGGTTGACATAGACAAATTCCCGATAACATAGGCCACCTTAAATATTTGCCATTAGACACCGATAGACTGAAACAAAATGTATCAATTTGAAAATCAAATCACCCACACATGCACGTGCGGACATATATRCATACATATGTACATAAAAGTTATGTATGTACATTTCTGCATACTTTTCTCCATTCACCTCTGTTTGTCTACTGATAAGTTCGGCACACATTTCAACCATTCTCAACAAATCACAATTTACTCACAACAATAGCAATCCAATTGGCAATACATATACTCTCAACATACATAGCTTATTCCTTAATTCTTGCTTTCTTATTCGCCCTTAACAGCGTCACCATCGGCTATAGTATTTGCTTCTACGCCTACTCAACATGGCAAGGGAAATCCTATTTTCTCGAAGACATTTACGTGCGTCCGGCATATCGTAAGCTGGGTGCCGGCGCTTATATGTTCAGTGCTGTTGCGGCAAAAGCGAAGGAATTTGGTTGTCAGCGTTTGGACTTTCATGTGCTTGGTTGGAATCCAGCGCGAAAGTTCTATAATCGTATGGGTGCCGAGGATTTGACCGAGAGTGAGGAGTGGCATTTTTATCGATTGCATCGTGAACAAATCGAGAAACTGTCCAATGAATTATAATATTTTTACAATAAAATAGGTTTTTTTAGAAAAAGTCAATATGCAACTTTTTTGCGTACTATTTTTTGAATATGAATTATTTATGCTAAAACTTAGACAAAACCATACACATATGTGCATACATATATATTTTTTGTGAAATGTAAGTGTGTATGTTTTATTAGTTATAATATAATATTAATTTGTAGAAGCCACGCTTCAATGAAATATAGAAAAATCCAAAAGGAAAGATCACGAAGAGGGCAAGGTAGCTACCATTAACATATGAGCCCAATCAAATATTTTAATTGTTTTAGAAACATGTCATCAAATTGGAAAGTGACAAACTTTCCACATTACAGTAAGAGTATGCAATTTCAGGACATCTGTAATTTTAGCAAAAAATTACAATAATGAAATGAGTCGTTAGCATTTCCTTACAAGTATATTCTATTGTTCTAAACAAACTCTTTTTTTTTAATTTTTTTTTTATTTATTTATTTTTTTTATTATTATTTTTTTTTTTGAATACGAACACTATTTTTTCCAAAATATTGCAACAATAATACTTTCACAGATTGCCTTTGAATAAAATAACTATAGTAATTGGTAGATAAATATTCATTCCTGTTTTCTTTTTCCATTTAAATCTATTGTTCACCATTGCTGCTGGCTATAACGTGTATCTGCATGCTTTTGGTGCTATTGTATACTTGTCCTTGCGGAAATGGGGTCACCTTGGACTGTGTGTCAGTTTTGTTTTTGCCACCGGCTGTATAACGTGACAAGCGTATATTTGGCATGGGTAGGAAACCCGTACTCAATGGCATCACATCCAAGGAAATCGAGTGACTATTCACATCTTTCATTGAAACGACACCTGTAACAGTAAAAAAAATGCATATAAGCAAGTTATATTTTATAAGGGTGTCAATGAAAATTAAAAATCGAATATATGTATTTTCTATATAAAACTAGAATTTTTTATATAAAACGAAAAGGTTACTCACCGCATACTTTTCGTAAAAGTTAAATTAAAATAAGGAAAAGTTGTTACTATACATGAAGAATATAAAAACCTTAATGTGTCACATACATATATACAGATATAGGCAAAGTAAAGAATTCGTTGACTTATCCGATTGCGATAAACGGATTTAGGCAAAAGCATGAAATAAATGTTTACTTCGGTTGCAATTAATCCAAAATACCCTCACAAATAAATAGTTGTCATACAAAAACTTTATTTTGATCATTCAGTTTGTATGGCAGCTTTATGCTATAATGGTCCGATCGGAACAATTTATTCGGAGTTGGTACGGTTGGCTTGGACAATAACTTATGCCAAATTTCGTGAAGATATCTCAACAAATAAAAAAAATTTTCCATACAAAAATTTAATTTTGAGCGTTCAGTTTGTATGGTAGCTATATGCTATAGTGATCCGATCAAAAAAGTTTCTTCAGATATTGTAGCGTTATACTGGATAATAATTTATATAAAATTTCGTGAAAATATCTTAACTAATAAAAAAACTTTCCATACAAGAATTTAATTTTGAGCGTTCTGTTTGTATGGCAGTTATATGCTATAGTGGTGCGATATCGGCGGTTTCGACAAATAAGCAACTTTATGGGAAGAAAAGTAAGTCTGCAAAATTTCAGCGCGATATCTCAAAAATTTAGCGACTCGCATATATACAGACAGACAGAAGGACTTGAACAAATCGACTCGGCTCGTCAAACTAATTMTTTATACGAGTATATATATTTAATAAGGACTCCAATTTTGCCTTCAACTTATTAAAAACATGATTGCAAACTAAACATACCCTTTCAAGGTATAAAACGATGATTTTCGAAATCGGATGGAATTCTCTTTATAATATAAACAAATTATGTTTTACTCCGAACAAATTCCTTCACTTTTGCCATTTCAAATAAAATCTAAAAATAAAACGTAGTATATATAAAAAATATGACAAACCTGCGGAGCGCCCACAAACTGCCCATAAATTCTGATCACTCAGCACCTCGTACATAAGATCCACGTAGGGATTTTCATGCACCTTGGTAATTTTCAAATTCAAATTACACACTGAGCGTAAACGACACAGCTCGTTCGGCTCAAGTTGCGTCTGCACCTTGAAAAGTGTTGTATAATCCACCAAATCGAAAGCGCAGCCGTAGTTGCGTAACAATTGTGGATTTTCCACGGTTGAGTATTTTGTTATAAAGTGCACCTTGATGACCGCAGGCAATTCTATCTCCGTCTTTAAAGGCTCCACTTGAATTTCATAAAGATAAGAAACCGTCAGACCTTTATATATTTGCTACATAAAAAAGAAGAAGGTATTAATTTCAACTAGTAAAATTAGGTATGTATAACACAAGTAAGATGCATACAACACATGATTGCGTTGGTGGATTCAGATCCATTAAACGCACGCCCGCCACATCACATTTCACCTTGGCCTCGGTTAGGTATAAATTCGCCTCCAGRCCCTTCATGACGACATGCAAAAACTTTTGCGTGCCACATGTATGCAGTCGGCATTGAGCCTCAAGSGCCGGTTGAAAATCWATCGCAATCTGCAGCTCATTGCGTGACCAGGGGCATGTCAGTGTGATGTAATGCTCCAAATGTTTCGATATTTTGCGGCCTGGCAAATCGGTTAGCACTTCCAAAGGGATTTCACGTTCCTCAAAAGACTTGAAATTGTGCAAAGACACTTGCAGCACACTGCTAAATGTAGAATCATCTTGTACAACARTGTTAGATGTTGTGTCTGTGGTGTTTTCTTGAAGAACATCGTCCTTATCACTAAGTGRCTGGCTGTTTTCCTTKGAACGCGCCATGCGTATGCGCAAATTTTTTGAGCATTTCAGTGTTATTTTGGCATCAGCTGGAAAAATGAAACTGCCGCCTGAAACAGTTAGGCGTACCGGCTGCTCAATGCCRGCAATTAAATTCTTGAAGTTCAGCACTGCCTCAGCCGGTTTGGTAGTGATCACAAATGGTGGTACTCTGAAAGGCAAATGCTCGGAGAAGAATTCCARTTCAGATATAGAAATGCGCATCTAAAACAAAGACAAAAAGGCATTACATCATCACTATACTACAATGGATTTCATAATTAGCACACCTGTTTGAAATCCCATGTGCCCACACGCGTCGCTTTCGATTTCAGTTCGATTATATTAGTGCCCGGTTGTATAGCGATGTTCTCCACAACTACGAAATTTGTAAAATCCGACTGGACACTGGGCGAAAGCTTGCGTTTGGTGCTACTTGTGCGACGCACCGGTTGTTTGACTTTGGGCAGGGCACATGCTACCGATGCGCAATCCAGCGTTTTATTCTCTTTGTAGTCTAAACGAAGTGACATTTTCAAACGCGACTCTTTGAGTGGCGATGCCGTTGGTGCTTTAGTAAGCTTTCCATCTTTCGTGGCACTAACCACTAACCTTGATGGTGGGGTTGTGACATCACCAGTCAGTGRCGCGACATGCATCTCGTAGGATAATTGTATGCTTTCAGCGACTACTTCACGCGGATACAAGCTCTCCAATTTTAACTGCACTAACACTATGTCATCCTGTATTATGGGTTCTGCATTGAGCACATTTATATCACAAATGCGAAAATGATCCTCGAGCACGCAGTAATTGGCATTCTCCATTGAAGGTTGTGCAGATAAAGTGGTAGTCATTGTCTTCACCGATTTGAGAAACTCATCGAAATAAAATGAGCGTACCAGCATTTCCAACTCTTGGCAACAAGAAATCGAACTACACGTTTTCGTATAGGCCAACGAATCCCCCATTTTGCGGTAGCAGTTAGCTAGTTCCAACAATGTTTGGGAGCTTAATGTATGCCAATTTTCAGCCTTTAATTCGCGCAATAAATCGGTAAAGAAACCAACAGCCTTGTGTGGCTCATTGAGTGCACAATAAAAATTACCCAAGTCCAAACCCACTAGACGCGCTGAACGAGTTCGTGAAACGTGTTTGTATGTGCTAATAGCCAATTCGGCCAATTCTAGATAAAGTTTTTCAAATGCTTGATTAGATCCTAAAGCTTCCTTCAGTTGATCTGTTGCCGATTTCTTAGGTCGACGATTAGGTGAGCGGTCGCGTCTTTGCTCTGAGATCTGCGGTGTGGGATTCAAAAACTGCGACTGTTCTAGCGGTGAGTCACCAATGCCCGCTGAYAACTGTACGACGATGTGCAACTGTTCGGACGTKGGCGTAAAGCCGGGGAGTAGACCACACAATTTTCCCAATTCGTATAATTTATCCTTTGCTAGATTCCAGATGGGAGCGCAATGTTGAAAACAGATAACTTCATTCGGTTCCATGGCCTGCTCACATGTTTGCAGCACTTCCAAAGCACAAACGAATTCCCAGCATGACAGAGCACCCTCCGGAGTATCTAATTTAACAAGTTCTATTTCACGTAAAGTAGAAAATAAGAAATTTAACAGTCTTCTAGCAATTTCGGGTGTTTGATTGTTTTGCTGCAAAAGATGCGCTTGACGCTCAAACAGATAATTGCGAAATTCCAAGATGGATACGGGACTGTCTTTAATTTTTTTGCGTATTTCAAATTTATCTCGTCGATTTAAACAGATACCATGAAAAGAGCATAATGGTTGCTTGAAGTATTCCAACCATTTTTGTTTTTCGCCAAAACCCGAGTTAGTTATAAATTGTGAAAAAATGGCGTCCAACTCGTCATATTGTATAAGTGCTTCGGTGTGTAATTCAAGTTTCTCAAATACAAGTGCTAAGTCTTCTTGCATAAAGAAATATTGGCGAAAGTCCCAGCCTTCATGATTTCGTTTTTCTCGTCTACTACGTATGAGTTCCTCATATTTAGCAATATTGCGATTATAACTAGCGAGCATTAAAAACCTATATATAGACACATGTGCTGAGATAATTGTAAGATAATTTATAATATATAAAAAAATCACTAACCTGATGCGTTGGACTAAACAACGGAAAGATTCGGCAGATTTTTGTTCAAATTTCGCAGGGTTTAGCACCGAGATACAACGATCGTCATTCTTCGTAGCAAAATCTTGTCGTATTTTATCCAACACTGTCGTACGTGGTAATATGTTTTTAGCTTTGCGTACATCCAGGGTCTCCACTAATAATATCATCCAATCAGAAATACCAAATGCTGTCAACTGCTTTAACCAATTTTTAATTGCATCATGCGCGTTTGCCTTATAAGTATCCAAATCCTGTAATATTAAATGGATTTTATATAACTGCAAAAGTTATCGACTCATTTGTTTCAACATACATTGCACTCCGTAACGAATATATGTAAAATTGGGTGCTCCAGTATACTCCATTCTCCTTTCTTATACTTTTCCAACACGCTTATGTTGAAAGGTTGTGCTTGCGCTTCTAAACGCACTTGCTTGGTGGGGCGATGAAATGTGCGTCTCCATTCGCAGGTATCTAGTGGAATAGCGTTAAGAATTTGTGCTTCCAAAGAACGAAATAATGGCCCAGCTCCCGAATCTTTAAAAAGAAAAGTTTGATCTTTAAAAACCAAAGTTATTACATTTACCAACTTACATGTAATTATTGGTTTCACATTCATATTTATGCACACTTTTATTCTATAATCGAGTACAAAATCTATCAATTAAAAAGTTTTGTCAACCCATTCAAATTTATTTGTAAACGCAGACAAAAATTTCTCTTTTGCTATCAGCTGTGTTTGACAATAGATAAACAAATAAACAGAGAGCGAGAGTAAAAATATACCAGCCTTTGTATGAATTACCCAGTTAGGAAACAACGGGATATTTCGTGATCTGTTGTTAAAAAAGTTCATTTGAATGAAATTAAACAAAATATGTTTATTTCTTTTCAATTGCTAGTAGAAATGCAAATAAGTTTAGACCTAAATAAGCTGTTAACKATAATTCTCTTTGAATTCGTGAGAAAATTGTAAAGCCCACAAAAGGGTTGTTATTTCGATCCCAAATTATTATATACAAAAGGCTATTTGCCAACACTGTTCGCCATTTAATCCCATGTCAACAAAGGCACCCACAAGTGTCAAAAACTCTGTCCTATTATTATCGAGAAAAGTGAAAACATTATTTTTGCAAAATATTTATCAATAATTAATAAAAGTGTAGGAAAAATCTAACTTATAAAATATTAGCGCCAGCACGAGGCACTAATTAAAAACTATGGAAAGTTTTTTCGGCCGAGGACATGATGGTTATGTTGGACGCGAAGAACATATTGTAAGCAATTTTCAGCACTCCCCTCACATATTCAACACTGCTTATCATATCTATCTATCTTTTTATCTTAAAAATAAAATGAATCGTAATCAGAAAAAGTTGCAGACAAACTGTTCGGAAGATGACAATTTGGATGAACTGCCACCAATGATGGAAGAACTATGTGTGGTGGATGGCTTACGACCAAGTCCCGGAGGTCCGTTCTCTGCACTGACGCCATCAATGTGGCCGCAAGAGATTCTTGCGAAACTGGGTCAACCCGAGGCAGAGCCAACTGGTCCGAACGATCAACCAGATTATCGTTTTGACGAATTTGGTTTTCGTGTGGAAGAGGAGGACGGTCCAGAACAAAGTTCAAACAAACTGCTTTCCCAACCATTCGTGGAAGATGCTCAACAACGTTTACAATGGATTGCTCACTTAGAGTTTTCACACAATAAAGAGGCTACTGAACTAACTTGGGAAAATGTAGATGTTATGCTTCCACGCACTGAAAAATTGCGTAGTATGGTGCGTGAGGGTATACCACACTCATTACGAGCGCAAATGTGGATGCGATTATCTGGCGCATTGGCCAAAAAGCAGAAAAGCGAAACAAGTTATCACGATATTGTTAAAGGTGACAAATTTCAGAATTATTATTAATTTTTTTTTTTTTTTGGATTATTTAACGTTCTATATATTTAGCCTCAGGGAATGATCAACTTATGACCTCAAAACAAATTGAAAAAGATCTCTTGCGTATATTACCAACAAACGCGTGCTTCAGCAATCCGCATGGCACAGGAATACCACGTCTGCGCCGGATACTACGCGGCATTGCTTGGCTCTTTCCAGATATCGGTTATTGTCAAGGTACTGGTGTAATAGCCGCTTGCTTGCTGCTTTTCATGGAGGAAGAAAATGCTTTCTGGATGATGGCGACTATAGTAGAAGATTTGTTACCCGCTTCATACTATTCCTCAACATTATTGGGCATACAAGCTGATCAACGTGTCATGCAAACTTTGATTGCTAATTATCTGACATCGGTTGATGAAACACTGAAGAAACATGACATCGAGTTATCGCTTATAACATTACATTGGTTTCTGACATTATTCGCCAATGTAGTACATATGAAGATATTGGTGCGCATTTGGGATTGGTTTTTTTATGATGGCAGCATTGTTCTCTTCCAACTCACATTGGGTATGCTGAAGCTGAAAGAAAATGATTTGCAAAATCTAGAGAACTCGGCTCAGATATTCAATTCATTATCTGACATACCAGGCGAAGTGGATGACGTTCAGGTTTGTTTRGCCACGTTTCAAAGTAAGCTTAAARTTTTAAAATCTAAACTTACGTATTGTAGATACTTTTCCATCAAGCCCTTGAAGTGGGTGGCTCTTTAAGTCAAACTGTCATTGACACTCATCGCCGACGGCATCTTGCCTATCTAATGGCAGATCAAGGTGGACTTGTTGGTAATCCTGAGGCGGTGCCGAATCTACCCAAACAACATTTAGCTCGCCGACAAGTGCGAAAAAGCAAATCTATCTTAGAAACGCTCCTCTTTCGTGGTGAGCCAGACTCTGTAGAACTGAAAAATAARAATATACGACAGACCGAAATTCTGGTAGACTTACGTGAGGCAATATTGAAAGTAGCGCGCCACTTTATTACCATTGAGCCAAAATTGGCCGCACACATACAATTRACAGCGAATTATAGTACAGATTCGCATGCAAAGGATCATGAAAATTTCATTAATGTGGCGCGTCGACGGAAAAGAAGAGCGAAGGCGTTACACGATTTCGAACGACATGATGATGACGAGCTGGGCTTCCGTAAAAACGACATCATCACAATAATTAGTCAAAAAGATGAACACTGTTGGGTGGGTGAACTAAATGGACTGCGCGGCTGGTTCCCTGCCAAATTCGTTGAGTTGCTAGACGAGCGCAGTAAGCTATACACTTCAGCTGGCGACGATGCGATTTCCGAAACCGTAACAGATTTGGTGCGCGGTACATTGGCGCCATCGATTAAAGCTTTTCTCGAACACGGCATGAAGAGACCCTCATTTCTGGGTGGTCCAATACATCCATGGCTTTTCATTGAAGAGGCAGCCACTCGTGAAGTTGAGAAAGATTTCGAATCGGTTTACAGCCGTCTAGTGCTATGTAAGACGTATCGCTTGGATGAAGATGGCAAAGTATTGACACCGGAAGAGCTTCTGTTTCGCTGCGTGCAGGCAGTTAATCAATCACACGATGAGGCGCATGCACAAATGGATGTCAAGTTACGCTCACTTATATGCCTTGGACTGAATGAACAGGTGCTACATTTGTGGCTGGAAGTGTTGTGTTCGTGTCAGGAAGTTGTACAGAAGTGGTATTATCCCTGGAGTTATATTGATTCGCCCGGCTGGGTGCAAATCAAATGTGAACTTCGAATACTCTCACAATTTGCTTTCAATTTGAATCCAGACTGGGAATTACCGCCGAAAAGGGGCAAAGARTCACAACCACTGAAAGATGGTGTCCGTGACATGCTTGTAAAGCACCATTTATTCTCGTGGGATTTGTGAGCCTTATAATAGCAACTACAGAATGAAATCTAATGCATTTGTATATGAATCTAATTTCTTTTAGTAAAATTTAGGCGTTATAGTAAGTTTTTGTTAAGTTTTAAAGTTGCGAAAAAGTAATGGAAGTGCACATTCCCTTTTAAATATCGATGTACTTAAAATAGCGTATTTCGTAACTTAGTCTGCTTTCAATGACGCTACTTATAATATTGTGACTCTCGAAAATTGTAACAAACATTTCTTAGTCAGTTTGAAATAATAGTAYAGTTATAGTATTTACTATATATTTACTCTACATGTATGTTATATAATTCCTTTAAAGAACAAGTGTATTACTCAATTTTACTCTATTAAGGCGCCAATTTATACGTATCTCCTAAATTGCAGTTAAATTCAAATTATTTTAGAAATTCATAATTAACTTAAACTATACATGTTGTATATTAAAAAAAAATCGCAATATTTAAATATAATATAAATATGTATTTAAACAGCGTTTTTACTTTTTAAATTCAATTAATTTTACATGTATTTCGTACATATAAATRCATAAGCATTTGTTCACTATAGTATTTGTGGTCAGACTACAAAAGAAATAAACAAARAAATTAACTGCACACTAAACCTAAGTAATCGTCCATAAGCGTACCGATCGCGAACTGTAAACAAACTACTATTAAAATTTATTTTATCATTATGCAATTGGTACTTACAATGCCAGTCGCATCCACGCGTGTACCAACAATCTTGAGACGTATTTTATCCTCACCCGAAATTACCACATCTTCATCTTTTGATTTGTAGCATGGTGGATTGCCGTTCGGACAGAATTGCATATCAGCTGGGATGGACTGCAATAGAAGAGCCGATAAATTATCCACTATCTAATAAAAACGTATTTAACACTTACRTGGTGTGATATGAAGCAAGAGAGTGGTCCAATTTCCGCGAACATGCCAACCTGCATAAAACCAAAACACCTAATTAGATATTGAGCACAATTTTTGTTTAAATAAAATTACTTTGTTTATTTGTTTCACCACGGCATCTAATACCTCGCCTTTGAACGGCCGAAAAACGATTGCTTTGTATTTCACAGGATATACCACAAATCCCTGACCTGGCTGTATTACGCCGGAGCCGATTTGATCGATTGTGGTCACAGCTATCACGAAACCATACTTTCCTGTGCACGTACCTTCTACTTCGGTATAAAGTTTTTGCTTTACAGTCTCCAGCAACTGTGGCCCGAAATAACGCGGATGCAAGAGAATCTCATGTTCCAATGAGATCTAGAAAATAAAAATAAAACATTTAATTAACAGCAATAATAAMATCATGCAGTAACTTACATGGTAAAACATTATAAAATTCCAGATTTTACTTATATTTTTTTATGATTAGTACTTTAGTTTAATTAAAATGTTTTGCTAAAAGTTAATATGCCGCAAAAYTGTTTATCTTAGCAGAAAATTGTAAATAGCGGTGGCATGAATTTCGCCTCAGTGAAATGTCAAAAGTGACAGTTGAATTACGCTTGCTAACAGTGTTGCATTTCCATATAAGCGGAAATGAATTTATAGAAAAAAATTTTAGTACTGTCTAAATAAATTATATTATTATAAATGTGACCACAGACAGTAACAGTTTAGMTCGGCATTAAGAAATTCTGAAGCATGCGCTGGGTACGTATGTATGTATTTTAAACATATTTTATGTGTTTAACTACTAACCCATCAATAGCTTAATGTGGCGGCACAAAATAGCAATAAATACTGTTACTGTTGTATATTTATATTAAATTGATGATGGCATAATAATTTTGAGGCCACAACACTGTYGTGTCTTAGCGGACTTGAGCGAATATTACAATCATACA